TCATATTGTGCTGATCCCTGGATAAATAGTACAAAACATCTCCATACACTATCTTCCTCTTACTCATTTATGCCCCAAGCACACATTGTGGGAATTTAAATATCCAGCTAATTAGACAAAGTGTTATCCAAAATTAGGCCACCATACTTTCAAAGAACGTAAAACTGACAAACAAAAGATGGTTAGCCCGTGCTAACGGTAAACACACGGATAAGCATAGAAGTTGGGTCCATTCGCACTGCGATGGGTAAAGGCGGATGCCGCATTTCCAAGCTGTACACTGGAGCCGGCTTTGAAAAGTGTTGGGAATGTTTTCCATCTCGAACATACATTTCCTTCCCTCTAATGGTTGGAAGCACTGAAATTAATTTGCTCCATCGGGAGACAGCGTTGGTTATTACCCGGAAAGAGAAAGCTCCTTGTCACTTCTTAAGATCCCGAACAAGGTCGATTGGAAGGAGAACCTAATGTCTAATGTCCCAAACCAGCAATGGCTACACAATTCTCAGCAACAGTAAAACGTCTATAACCCATTGACCTAGTTAGCCCGAACAAAGTACTTAAGGCGGTCAATGAACAATTATTTATTTCGTGATTTTAGCAGTTAGGGCACATTAGCAAAATCAAACTGGATTTCGGGAAATGTTCTAGTACAGGGCACTGAGTCAAACATATCGATTCTGAATGTCTTGGGAACACAGTTCCCATGTTTTGGGTGGTGCCGTTTATGAACAAGAATCGTCAGCTAAGGGGGAAAAAAACCTTGCTGTTTCTATTAAAATCCAACATGCAAATTATTATTATTGTCCCAATAAATATTACTTAATAATAAAGCTACCACTGCACACGCACATCTCTGAATGTTGCGCATATACTTATACTTTTTTAGAAATAGAAAACAACCAATATAAAACTAGCCATGGAGTATAGAGGTGGATTTGCATACAGGTTTATTCAATTGTATTAATATTCATCTCTGCACAGCGCATGACAAAACTGAGTGTTATGAATGTTTTAAAAACAGTAATTATTTGATTTTAATGGCCATTATTTGCAAAGTATATTAACTTATGGTCAAAGTAATATTGAAACAATATAGTTTATTAAGTGCAATGTCTTAAACGTTGCCATTATACAGAAAAATTACATAAAATAGTTATGTCCAGATATACATTCTTTTTTTGTTTTAAAATCTTGACAAAAAATTGTTAGATTTTTTGATCTGTACAAAATAACTTTCATAAACACTCTTCATAAATCCACAACTTAAGGAAATCTTACTCTTGAGAGATAAATTTAATTCTGGGCATTCCAACTTTAGGAAAAGGTGGATTTGTTTTAAAACAGTCCTTTTCAAAAAAAAAAACATTTTTCAGCCTCTTTCAAAGAAAGGACTGTAAACAACCATCTATAAATTGCATTTAGTCCTGGCTTCATTTCATAGTCAAACCTCTTGTGGTAAACTTTGCGGTAAAGTTCCTTTGAGAACTTAAGATATATTGTGGAACCTTTTCCACAAGCACCAAAACATCTGATAGTCCCCAGAAACCCAATGATAGGGCTTCATAACACCCTAAATTACATTACATTCACCATCAGGTACTGCATCTTCAAATGCTAATACTCCAAAACATTCAAAGTACAATAGGTTAAAGCATCCTTTGAGTTACTTCAGTAAGTGCACCACGGCATTATGTGTTATACAACTGCACGTTTATCTTTTTTTTAAAAAACACTTCTAATGTTACAGAAAAATGAAGTACATAACAATTCTCTGATCTATAAACAGACTGTTCTGAATAGGTTTTGTTTCATTAGGTCCATCCCAATTGTAGGTCTATTCACAATATTGAAATTGTTTCCTTTGGTAAATTATTTTGGCAAAGTGTATGTATCTTATCAAACATATTTTCTGTATTCCTTTCATTACTCTATAGCACAGTCTTGTGCCTATGCCAGGGATGACTATCAAATGCATGCACACCTGTGTAAAAAAATATTCCAAACTGATTTTCAAAGACAAGCTCAATATCTGATCAAAACTAGCCTAAAGCAAATATATACATTTCTTTCAGATACATAAGACTGTATTTCAATATTTAAACAACCAAGGCATCTGAAGACATATTCCGATCCTCCCCATCCTTCTGAAGCCATAAGATTTGAAGGATCATGTGCAGATTCAAAACAATTTAAGTATTTGTAAGGGTTGGGGTGAATATATGCTTGACAGGGTTGGTGAAGGTTTAGAACAATACTGATACCATAAAGTTGGGCCTTGGCAATCATTGGGTTGTTAATTCTGGTGGTCTGCAACAGGAACTATCAAGAGTTGAAAGATGAAATGTCATTCTGCCAATAGGGTTTCTGCTTCCAACAACCCCCTCCTTCTCCCCATTGAAATAACTCATTGGTTAAGCTCTACTGTAGGCCCCATGCAATAAGTCTTATTAATTGGCGAAAAGGGCTGAACAGTGCTTCACAAGGAGCAGTGATGTGAATTCCCCATTGCTTTCAATTCTCATCTGATTTCACAATCTTTCTTCAATTGGTAAATAAATTCTGGAACACAGGAACTCTGTGCAACAGAGTGCAACCTTCTCTTTCCAACCATTGTGCGGGAGATTCCTTGGACCTTTTGTTTTATAAAAAACACTATTTATTTGGGAAACTTGTGTGTGTGTGTGTGTAGTGGTGGGGGGGGGGGAATCAAATTCCTAACTAACTTGCGAGGGGAAGGCTGGAGGAGGCTACTGTTGACATACTTTCATTCTGTTGTCATTTCTACAGAAATTGTTGGAATCCAAGAGATTAAAAATACATGGAAACCAACAGGTGAAGGAAATATCAAACGAAAACAAAAAATAATGTGAATGGGCAGGTCTGACAGAAGGCAGAGACTGTTTGAAAAGAATGTTAAAGAACATGCTACACTATTACAGCCATCAGTCATCAGAGCTTAACCTCTGTAAACCTACATCAATAATTCAGTGAGGAACTTGTTAGTAGGATCCTGAAAACAACATAAAGCCAATAGCCAATAGTTCCCCCCCCACCTCCCAAATTTCAATTGAGTGCAATTTTCCCTTTATTATGGTGGGGGGGGGAAATTCCATCTCTGAACAAAATACTTAATAGTTAACTAATTGTTTGCAATGGTATATTTTCAATCGCAGTTTAACAGATCAGGTAACACATGGACCAAAGCCTCTTAGTTTTCAGGGGTCTAAAGCAACAAGAAGAGCCCCCCCATAATAAAACTATCCCACTGTGTACACCGTGTCTCCACAAGAGGGGAGTGGAACGGTCTGGATGCAAAAGATCACCAAATCAAGCGTTATTTGCACTACCAGGATGGGTGGGTGTATAACCTTTTGACAAATGGCCAACACAGTGATATCCCCACCCCATGTGTCTATGTTTATAGTCATATAAACACATGGGCGTGCCCCATACGAAGTTTCATTGCACAAGTTCGTATGGGTACTGATAAATATTACACCTTTTGTAGGTTAATATTCCGAACAGAGGACACACCACAGCACCTCAATCGCAGTGAAATGAGCGCTGGCCTCCATTAATACTTTGACGCGCGTAAATAAAAGTGCAAACGGCAGTACTGTACTGAATACACAAAAACATTCCACATAGATGCCAAGAGAGAGAGATTGAGAGAGAGAAAGAGAGGGGAGAGAGGGAGAGAAAGAACAGTTTGTTATGTCAGCTTTAAAGTACAGTACTAACAGGGTAGATGTCCCAGGCACTGGAGAAGAACTAAAAGGCCAATCCAGTTCTTGCATGGAGCATTCTTAAAAACGCTTTACTGGTAATATTAGTAGGACTTTATAAGTTAAACTTAATGCGAGTTACAGTGATCAAGATCTCTGCAGATGAAATGAAACCGGTTAGCATTGCTGATTCAGGGTCACAATCCACAATGCCTGGCGGGTTAGATAACTTGACAGTTTAGCTAAAAAGAGCCATCGAGCCACATTTATCTCTCCTCTCCCCTCCACACACACACACACACACACACACACAGACAGACAAGACACACACAGACAGACAGGACACACACACATACACACAGACAAGACACACACAGACAAGACACACATACAGACAGGACACACACACATACACACAGACAGACAAGACACACACACACAGACAGGACACACACAGACAGGACACACACACACACAAGACACACACACACAGACAAGACACACACACACACATACAAGACACACACAGACAAGACACACACACAGACAAGACACACACACAGACAAGACACGCACACACATACACAGACAAGACACACACACACATACACAGACAAGACACACACACACAGACAAGACACACACAGACAACACACATACACACAAGACACACACACAGACAAGACTCACACACACACAAACACACACGCCCTTCGACTAAAAAAAAAGCCAGTGTCAAAACGTTTGGCTACTTAAAACCAATCGGGGGGTTATCAATCGGATTTACGCGACGGCTGTAACGCGGGACAACGTGAGATCGATCCAAACCCCCGAGTGCGGAGGCCCCGAAGAGAGAGAAAAGACCTTCCGCGGTCCCCGGTGGGTCAGTCAGTTACCGTCCGTCACATCACATCACCAGAGAGAGGTGTGTGTGGCCGAAACCACCCGCACAGCCTCTGTCACCTGTCACCCATCGCCACACCGGGGAGGAGGAGGAGGAGGAGGGGGAAAAAAAGGGGAGGAGGAGAGGAGGAGAGGGGGGAAAAAAAGGGGAGGAGGAGGAGGAGAGGGGGGAAAAAAAGGGGAGGAGGAGGAGGAGAGGAGGAAGGGGGGAAAAAAAAGGGGAGGAGGAGGAGGAGAGGGGGAAAAAAAAGGTATTTAATTTCTCTTTTTTTTTCTCTCTTTTTTGTTTTAAAATGTGTGGGGGTTGGGCTCAAAGTGTGTGTGTGGGGGTTTGGGGGGGGGGGGGTTGAGGGGGGGGGGGTTTGGGGCTCAACTTTTCTCTTTGAAAAAGCCTTCGTCTGTGCTGCTCTCTTTGATGGTGACGGTCAGGAAGTTGGAAGTCACATCGGTGACCACCACCTTCTCCAGATTGTTCAAGGAGGGGCTCCAGGACTCCTCCGGCTCGGCCAGGAACCCGGGCCCCGGGAGCTTGACCCCCACCCCGGGGACCCTCGGCCCGGGCGGCTGACCCCTGGTGGTGCTGCTGCTGCTGCTGTTGTTGTTGTTGTTGTTGCTGACGGCGGCGGCGGCGGTGGTCCCGGTCCCGGAGCCCAGTTTGGCCGTGAGTTCGGGCGCTCGCGCCCCTCCAGCCTTACCCCTGGACACGGCGCTCTGGAAGCCGGGCTTAGTCCGGGATTGGCTCCGGATGGGATCCGACCCGCGTTTGAGCCTCGAAGCGTCCGCCGCCGCCGCCGCCGCCGCCCCGTACGCGGCGCCCGGGCTCAGCCGCTCCCCCGGGCTGAGCGGCCCGGCCCGGTTTGCTGGTGTCCTGGACGGGGTGTGACCCATCGCCCCTCCACCCCCTCCTCCTCCTCCTCCACCACCGCTGTGGCTGAGCTTCGCCTCCCGCCTCCCACCAGAGCGGCTCAGTCCATCCGCCGCCGCCGCCGCCGCCGCCTTCCCGTCCAAGTCGTCGTCGCTCCCGGAGTCCAACTCCTCCGACTTCCTCCGCTTGAAGTGGGGGTAAGTCCCGGTCCCGGTCCCGGTCCCGGTCCGGTCCGCCGGGCGCGGCTCGGCTTGGCCGCTCCTCTTCGGGGAGGGGGCCGGGCCGGGGCCGGACTTGCCGTCCGCTTGGCCGGCTTTGGCCCCCTTTCTCCCGGGCCCCCCCTCCGCCCTGACCGGCCGGCCCGGGGGCCCGGGCTTGGGCTGCCCTCTGCGGGGCTCGTCCATCGTCCCGTCCGCCCGCTCCCTCGAAGGCTCCCCCCCGTGCGGCAGGTCCCCCGCCGGGTCCCTCCGCGGACCTTCCCGGGACCGGGTGGAGGAGAAGGCGGCCTCCCGGGACCGCCCCGGAGGGTACGTGACCCTCAGCCCCCGGACCAGGTCACTGCGGAAGGTGTAGGTTTTGGCTTTAGCCTTGAGATAGAGAGAGAGAGTGAGTGAGTGATAAGAGTGATAGAGAGAGTGAGAGTGAGTGAGTGAGAGAGAGAGAGAGAGAGAGTGAGTGATAGAGAGAGATAGAGAGAGGGGGAAAAAAACAACACACACTCATTTCCTTACTCTGTTTATTTTCTTCCCCAATCCACTCACACTCACTCACACACACTCAGACTCACACATACACTCAGACTCACACATACACTCAGACTCACACACTCACTCACTCTCACACACTCACTCACTCTCACACTGACTCACTCTCACACACTCACTCACACACACACACACTCAGACTCACTCACTCACTCTCAAAACACACTCACACACTCAGACTCACTGAAACACTCACTCACTCTCACTCACTCACTCAACACACACTCACTCTCACCCCCCAATAAGTTATTTCCAACGAGAGGAGTTTATTTACCCTCAATAGGAACGTTTTCGGTTTGGGTCCACGCTTTTTTGGCCCATATATCTCTCTCTCTCGTTCCCTGTGTGTCAGAAGAGTGGAGAGGAAGGGAGGAAGGGAGGGAGGGAGGGAGGGGAAAGGAGGGTGGGGGGGGGAATGTGGTCGTTACGGATCGAAATAAAATTTACTTTGCCAAACAATTTTTTTTTTAATTTTTTTTATATATATATTAAATAAAAAAAATCAACGCTAAAAATACGAATTTGCACAACTAATATATATAGATATATAGAGCTATATTGGTTTACAAAAAAAAACGTGGCTTTAAAAAAAGGACTCCTTCACCTCTCGTCAAAGGCTGATATCAGTCGCGAATCCAAGATATTTTCTTCTGGTTCCCACGTACTGAACCTTTTTTTTGTGTTTTTTTTTTAAAAAAAGAAAAGGAAAGAGGTTATATATATATATATATATATTTATTTATTTTTTATTTGTTGTTTTTTTTTTGGGGGGGGGGGGGGGGGGTGGGGGGCAAAAATCCATCCATCCATCAGTCAAATCGGTCAATAAACAAACGAACCAGAAACTCGGTCGGTGCAAACGTGCGATTGATTACTAGGCAAGAGTCAATGCGAGTCGATGCGACGCTGACTGACACTTACTTAGGAGACCAGCCCTTCCATTTCACCAGGTATTCGACTCGACCCTAGTGAAAAGGGAGAGAGAGAGAGAGAGAGAGTGTGTGAGAGAGGGCGAGAGAAAGAGAGAGAGAGTGAGAGTGAGAGTGAGTGAGTGAGTGAGTGTGAGTAGCATTTACAAGCGATCTGCATTGGAAATGGCCGAGTGCGGGTCCAGTTGAGTTTTGGACTCGATGGGGGAAGAGGGGAGGAAGGGAGGAGGGGAGGAAGGGGGAAGAGGGAGGGAGGGAGAGGGAGGGAGAGAGAGAGAGAGAGAGACGGCCGCTTACTTTCCTGATGCGTCGCTTGAGCAGCGATTCAGCAGCGAAAACCCTCTCCCCCACGGCGGAGAGCTCCATGTCTCCCCCGCGGTGTGGCTGCCCGAGCTCCCAGTTGCCTTTCAGCTGATGCCCCGGCGCCAGCCCATAATAATCCGCCCCTGACGTTTCGCTTTACTGCGACTTGTCAGCCTTACCCTCTCTCTCTCTCTCCCCCCCTCTCTCTCTCTCACTCACTCCCCTCCTCCTCCCTCTGCTGCTCGCTACAGCTCCGACTTGCTGAGACCCAGGGAGGGAGGGATGGAGGGAGGGAGGGAGGGATGGTGACAGGCAGTCTTGCCTATTGGCAGGCAAGGCAGAGGCGAGAGACCGAGAGGGGAGGGGGGAAACTGCACACTAGGAAGTGATGCAACCAGGCAGATAAATAGTCACCAGGATCCATTTTGTAGCAGTTTGCACTTGTCCTGGAAAGTTGGTGAATAAATGGCAATTAATCATCCAGCAGATGGACCCCCCCCACACACACACACACACACCCAAAAGGATTTTGCAACCTTTGAACTTATTAATGTCCATCGCGACAATCGCCACCGACTTCACGTTGGAAAGAAACCCCGACCCCCTCCCCCCTCCCCCCCCCACACACACACTCACTCACACACACATACACACACCAGTTCCCCATCGTTTAATACGCACTCGACACAACAGTGCAATACCATCCGCTCCGAATCCTGAATGTGCACAGAACGACTTGTTGTCGTTATGGCAATATTTTGCACAACGTTTAAATAAAAGTGTGCCCCCCCCCCCACCCAGGAAAAAATACAATGAAAAAAAGAGAGATTCTCGTTGCAGTTTAAAGCAGGCGCATGTTAGCGAATAATGTTGCGAGCGACAGAGATCAGGGGGATGTGTAATTGGAAAGTAGTCGCCCTAAATTAATCCGTCGCTTCATTATATGCAACGATGCATTTAATTGAACGACCCAATGGTTAAAATGTTGTTCTCGGGGTTGTTTCACACAAAGCTGTTGGTTGTTTACCTCTGAAGATGAATTGGCAATAATATAATGTTCCGGATTTCATTACACGTGACAATCAGTGGCCTTTTTGTCTCTGTTCGTTATGTAAAACAATATACATATATATATATTACTTAGTTCCGAAGTCAATGTGCTATGTGCAACTGATCAATTGCTGTTTACTTGTGGCCATTTCGCCCACACGATACAGAGTCAATTCACTTGACAACATATTCTGTGAAGCTGTTTGAGTCTCAACGACGTGATGAGGCGGTATATCAAATGGAAGGTTATTACTATATGGTTATTTACAATATCGACAAATACACCAATAACCAGTTAAAGTGCGAGCAGAGTATGTGTTAGTTATAATGCCCCAGTGTGGTTTATTCCAACAGTTTAGTAATTGTATCTATGGACATTGGGGGGGGGGGGAACAGCTCTATCTACTGCACTAGAAACCAGAAAGGTCAGTGTCGCATCAGCAATAATATGAAAAGTGTCTAACAGGGCATATCAGTCCTAAATAAACCGATACATACACAAATAACAGCAGTTTTGGGTTCTGTTTGAAGAGAAAATACAACTAAATACTCCACGCGCTTCAGCTCGTCCAGTACGCGTGTATTCAGAAATTATCTGAACTGTTTAAGAAATAACTCGTGGCATTATTTTTTGCCTGAGCGGTTTCATAGCCCACTCTGTAACCCAACCCAATGGAAAAAAAACACGAGAACGCTTTAACTTTCTCGACATAGCTTTCCAAACTCTCTGATGCATCAAAGTGCGAGGCGTGAAATGAAAATGTCCAGAACTTAACACGTGTTAAGTTAGTTAACACGTCTTAACGCCTGTGGGTGAAATTAGGCAATGAAAGATGACCCACCAAATATCGGGAAAGCATTAATAATTGGTGCGACTAATCTCTTCTGTATCCCGTATCGGAAACCCTCCGATCGTGGGAACGTTTGGGACCTGATTCCAAGAGCCATCCAACACTGAGATCATACCGTTGAATCAGAATGGTTTACACCAGGAACCTCTGTGCGGATAACGCGACACCACACCAATATCCTCACAAATAAGCGTCGCAAATGTTGGAGGAAAAAGGCGCTCTGGAGAAGTGTAAAGGGAAGAGGATTGCTTTAGTACCCATCTGGGCCTCTGTTAGGGAATCTGGAGCTTATAGCAAATGTTATAGATAGCACAAGGGAGACGGATAAACCCAATTTGAGTACATACTTTCAGTAATACGCAATGCATAATAACCTTTCTTCTGCATTGCGATTATTATAGGGGGTTTTTTTTGTTGCAGAAAAATATAGGTTTGGATCTGTGCGTCAGCTCAATTCATGTGCAATATTCTCCCCTGATGCGATTTCGAAGAGTTGACTGACTAACTGTTTCAAAGGATGACATTGAACTACTGGTTCGTGATATTTTCTCTCTCTCTTTCGATACAGATAATTTGGCCCGGTTCGCAGTGTTAAAGTGCCTACTCCACGCATGGTCAGCGCCCCTTGAAGGTCATTGTATCTCCAAGGGATAAATGGGAACAAAATGTGGCTGTTTATCTCGTGATCAAACGCAAAATAACACTGATCATAACAACTGTGCGTTTTCAGCTACGATCCAATGGCATCTGTTGTTCGGCATATAGAAGAAACAGAGTCCCATCGCACACCTTTGGCCACTCAGTGTTCCACGTCTCTCACAAACCAAGCGTTTTCCACCTAAATTAGAATTTATATTGAGGAAACGAACTAAATATTCGGAGGTGCATTGGCTGTTGCATTTTGTGGGCACACGTTCAATAAAGTAACATCATTTGATTTACCCATGAAATGTTACCATACATATACAGTATCGCCGTTCCCCCTGTTGGTATATCTAATAGTCTTAAACCATGCACAGTAAAGAAGCACTATACACTGTATAAATGTAAATTTGTTTGCTGTTGTAATTTGTCAACCAAGTACCTTTAAGTTTCAAACCTGATCCTCATCTGGTTCATTTACACAGTTTAGGAATATACTACATTGCCAATATATAGAAATATATATATAATATATAGTTATATAGAAAACCCATGTAGCACGTGGGTTAAAGTTTTAGTCTGTCTCCTATTTACAAATAAATAGTTATTCCTATGGAAAGTGTTCAGTTTGGAAAGGAACTCAAGAGTACATAAAGTAAAAAAAAATTGTGTTTCGTGGTACAGTAGTTAGTCTACCTTGAATGCTCCACAGGAAGTGATTGGGGGAGGGTAGTGTGTGGGGGAGTGAGGTTGAATATATCTCACTTGACAAGCTGTCCTGTTGATAAAGAGCACTGACTGCAGCTCTGGTCGAGTCAGTCACCACCCGAGTCCAGTACTGTGTCCACCAATTGATCAGAGTGTATTGATGGATCCAGAACAGCAGAAGTGAACTGCTCTGCAATACTAACAGAACCGAAGATTTATGATAGGCTCTGGACCCGTGTGGGTGGCAGTACATAAAAGACATATTGGATACGAGATGGGTAACAGGTTGGAAAATTCAAGGAAAAAAAAAACGTCTTTGGAATGTAGGCTCATAAATATTGCTGGACACTTACTTTGTTGTAAAGTAGGAGGAAGGAGATGGGGGGGAAGGTATATCCAGGTAATTGGTGCAATTCCTTTGAAATATTTTACTTGCATAAGTTAGACTTATGTTAAATGGACATTTAACATATGTATATGTTTTATGGGGAGGGGGGGGGGGAGCTGAATTGAAAAAATAAAAGTTTTTTTCATGTAAGCTATGTATGTTGCTGTCTCGCATTCAAACAGATCAAATGTCACTTCTACCTCAATGCTCGTGCACAGCCTCATCGAACCCTGGAAAGAGTTAATAATAATAATAATAATCCTTGCATTTGATATAGCGCTTTTCACGTCGAGAGGACGTCCCAAAGCGCTTCACAGAACACACTGTAAAGTGAATTGACTGTATATTTGTGGGCGAACGCGGCAGCCAATTGCGTACAGCAATGTCCCACAAACAGTCGTAGATTGAAAATGACCAATTTATTTATTGTTTTTGGTTTTGGAGGGATTATTATTAGGCGTTGACTGAACCATTCAGAAATGCATATTTTATTCTCGGTTTAATACACTGTAGAGTGGTGGAGGGATTATCACATGCAATTGCAGAACGAGAATGTATTTTATGAGTAAGCAAGTCATGCAGTTTTACATCCAGTGATGATTCCAAACTCTAATTATTCCAAATTGTAATATTCTGGTTTCCATATCCATATTCCAGCAATTTGAAATGCTATCCTGTATGAAGAGCACTGTATACATGCAAGTTGTTGCTGCTGTATTCTAGTCATTTCCCTATCCTAATCTATTATTAGTATGTCTACTTTTAAAACGTTCAACACTTTTCGGCAAGTTTTAAATACCGAAGCTGCTGAAACATTTTATTTTCTCGCCCACAAAATATACAGTCAATTCAGTATACAGTAAATTCTGTGAAGTGCTTTGAGATGTCTCAAAGGTGTGATGAGGCACTAAATCAAATGCAAGGATTATTATTACTATATTTTGCTTTGCAGAGGGTAAATAACAGGTTGCAGTTTATCCTGATAGCAGTTTATTATAATATTTGCACAAAAAAGTGACAATTTCTGGCTGACGCAGTCTGCTTCTCGTTCGTGCCATGCAAAAGAACTATTGATCAAGGGCAGAAGTAATTTCAGTTGTAATTGTTTTGTTAGTGAATAATTTTACTGTGTGACTTGGTCATGCGGTGGTGAAAGCCTTGTGGAGCAGCTACGTTAAGGTCAGCCAGAGGGTTAATTTCTGAGAGTAAATATAGTTCTGATTCATCATATCAGCAACTTCTGGTCTTAAAGTCTCCCTCTGACCATTGATATACAGTCAAATTCACCCACAAAATATACAGTCAATTCACTTTACAGTATAATCTCTGAAAAGCTTTGCGATGTCTCAAAGACATGATAAGGCGTTATATCAAATGCAAAGATTATTATTATTGTATGACAAATATACATATATTTACAGACACACAAGAGAGAAATAGTGATTCTAAACTATATATAGCACACTATACATAACTGGGTTGGGCACCTGTCATCAAATTCTTTGATGGTATTGGGTCCAACAAGAGGATTTCTTATTTTATCTTGATTCTCGTGCTTGATAATGGATTTTGTTAATTTGCAAGTTTGACCTGTACAAACTCAAAAGAACACAGAGGGTACCATT